ACAGCAATCCTAAAACACACACGGAGCTGATTACATTGTGAGAGACGTTTAAATTCATCTCCAGCAAGACAAACCACAGCCTCTCACCACTGTCCCAGCCTGCTCTCGGAGTTATGCCTAGATTTGAGTATAAAAATATTAATGAATATGATTTATCCATGCGCTGTCCTTACTGTAACTGCAACGTGCTCCTAGGTTGGAACAAAGCAACGTGGATGAGGACATCAGGATCTGACACTTCAGTTAGATAAATCTAACATGGCCCAGTGGAATTTGTCCTAGCTTTCCATGTCTTTTAATAAAGAACATTTGCTGTTACAAGTTCAATTATTAAAGACAAAGAAAGGGACATCCAATCACTAACTCAGTAAAACCAAGGCTACACAAACCTTTATTTTACCTAAATGAGAGCTGCTTCCAGTACATAACGATTAATCCAAATGTTTACAAACACACTGACAAAAAAGTCTTCTGCTCTTAGAGAAAACTACTTAATGGATACAGATTGTCAACATATTTGCTGTTTAAACTGTCTGATTTTAAACAGACAGATCTTAAAAGTATTATCCAGAAACAGCTGGACAAGCTTTTAAGACAAAAAAATGTGAAACGCTCATTCTTAATACACACAAACCTCTAAATCAATTTGCTTTAGATTGTCAAAACTCTATCTGCATCCCTTTGATCAGAACTGCTTCAAAACATCCCAGCTAGCACGAGTTGAAGACAGCAGACAGGATACACACACACATGTTCAGGTGTTCCTGCTCTAAAGCTGAGAGGAAGCAAATGCCATGTCAGCAGTCACAGACTATAAACAAGCTCTACTTTGTAAACCCCCAAACCACCTTTTACTGTAACACTTCCCCCAGGCAAATCCTCAAATCTTAGCTATCCACTGGGGTAAAAACTCACAGCTTGCAGCTACAGGTAAAATAAATGTCATACGCGGTGCATTGATTAACCCAAATCTATGATTCTGTTTCACTGCCTGAATCTGACACACAAAACTACCTCGGCTGCAACAAGAACCGAACACTAAAACTGCTCTGTCTGCCATTCATGCATGTGGGAATCTTGCTGAAGGCAGGTGCAGTCACGAAAAGCCAGTGCCATTATGTAATTCAATCACTTTGCTCTTTTCCCCTTGTCTTCACACATTTCTATCTCCTTCACAGCACAGCGTGTCCCAGACGCGAGGCACGTCCTCCCCGGAGGAATAGGAGGAAGCAACAAGGCAGCAGCTGCAGCACACTCTCAGGGCCCTGACCCTCCCAAAGCACTATGCGGAAGATGAGCAGGGCACAGCTCCTACACCCTGACAAAAGGTGATACAAGCTATCTGGAAAAGCCTACAGGAAAAGCAGTTGGGAAGCACGAACTCCAAGAGTTTGTCTTCTCCAGAAAACTGGCTAAGTTAGACCTAAGGAGAACAACTTCTCATGTTTACTTCACTGTAAGGTTACCACAGTGCAGCTCCTTGAACCTGATGCAAGCCTGTGCTGTGGCTGAAGGGAGACACTCCCCTGTCACCTTCCATCCTCTCTGTCACCTTCCAGCTCGGGCCGTGCCCCTTAGGATGGCACAAGCATTCCTGCAGCCATGCGTACAAAGGAACCAGACTGCTGAGAACCTGCCTAGCAAACATATTTCAGCTGTGCTCCTTCCTAGGAAGGGCTCTTCAGACACTCCCTCCCCCCCAGACCTGGGTGCTGGTGCAAGGGAGAGGATACAGATAACCATCAGCTTAAGCAGTGACCACCCAGCTTAAAGCAATCAGCAGGAGTAGGCTGCTCCTACTGAGAGCTGCAGGTCAGGGAGCCCGCCTGTGGAGTCCAGCAGCCAGGCTGGCACTAACCCTTTGGAAAGCACCTCCTGCTGCTGTGGAAAGCCACATTTTGGAGGATGCCTCTGGAAAAATCAGCTCCCTGTTTGGGCAGGAGATATTTGTCCTGTACTAGAAAATACCAGCAATGAGACAAATGATAATAGAAGCTGCTGGAGGTTAATGCATGCGACTGCAGACTTGTGTGAAGTCTTGGACGCAAGCGTGATATCCTGTGTTGGTGGATGTATCAAAAGCCATATAAAGATTAGAGTGAAGTAGGAAGCTGCAGAAATGCAGGGACAGGCCAAGGGGAATGGCTTGAACCTGCCCGAGGGGAGACTGAGATGAGCTCTGAGGCAGAAGCTCTTCCCTGGGAGGGTGCTGAGGCGCTGGCACAGGGTGCCCAGAGAAGCTGTGGCTGCCCCATCCCTGGCAGTGTTCAAGGCCAGGTTGGACACAGGGGCTTGGAGCAAGCTGCTCCAGCGGAAGGTGTCCAAGCCCGTGGCAGGGGTTGGGGCTGGATGAACTTTAAGGTCCCTTCAACCCAAACCAGGCTGGGGTTCTGAGATAGGATATGACAGAAAACCCTGACAAAACCAGTACGCTTTGACAGTGACACAGCTGTGAAGCATTCAGACGCATCACTCTCACACACAGCCGGCTTCACGTTAGATTTCAACAGGTCCTAAAGCTCGCTTTGGCTTGCGATTTACCAGGAAGTTGGTGAAAAGCAGACACTGAGATGAACACACACCAAAACAACAGAAACGGCAACAGCCGTCCCCACTGCTCCCTGCTCACGGCAACTTTTACCAAACGCTTCCACAAAACCTCATTTCTGACCCAAAACAACACAAAGACACCCGGGAAGACCTCGCGCTTCAACAGACCGCTTGAAGAGTGGGGAAAGGAGAAGAAACCCGGTTCCCTGCTCCCAACCCCGCTCCCCGCTCTCAGACCCCGCTCCCCGCTCTCAGACCCCGCTCCCCGCTCCCAGACCCCGCTCCCCGCTCCCAGACCCCGCTCCCTGCTCCCGGACCCTGCTCCCAACCCCGCTCCCTGCTCTCAGACCCCATTCCCTGCTCCCAACCCCGCTCCCAACCCCGCTCCCTGCTCCCGGACCCCGCTCCCAGACCCCGCTCCCCGCTCCCAGGCCCGCTCCCTGCTCTCAGACCCCGCTCCCTGCTCCCAGACCCCATTCCCTGCTCCCGGACCCCGCTCCCAGACCCCGCTCCCTGCTCCCGGACCCCGCTCCCTGCTCCCAGACCCCGCTCCCCAGCCACGGAACCGTTCTGGAACGCGCGGGAGCGTTAACGTCCCGGCACCGGCCGCTTGCACCGACACTAAAGGCACCCACAGAGAAACAAACAAAACCTCTTGGGAAGGCCTCGGGAGCGCCCGGGGCAGCCGGGCTGGGGCCGGATGCGGCTCGGCCCTGAACTGAGGGCAGCGCTGCCCGGACCGGCCTGAGCCCCCCCCCCCCCCCCGCCTGCTCCCGACCCTCGGCGTTCCCGGGGCCGCGTCCCGGCCCAGAGCCCTGCCGCACCTTCTCCTCCACGCAGCTGACGATGATGGAGGGGTACTTGCGGCTCAGCCAGCGGAAGAACGCCGGCACCCCCATGGCGGCCGGGACCCACCGCGGCCCTCGGCAACGGCGGGAGCGCTTCCGGGGGCGTAGGGCGGCGCGGAGCACGACGGGAGCGCGCGGCAGCGGCGCCGCCGCCATTTTAGAGGCGGGGCTGAGGTTGTCATGGCGGCGGGAGGGAAAGGAGGGTAGCATGGGGAGAACAGGTGGGGTTGTGGGGTGCGTTGGGGTTAGCTCTGCCTGAGGGACACGTTGGGGTTAGCCCTGCCATAGGGACACGTCGGGGTTAGCTCTGCCTGAGGGACACGTTGGGGTTAGCTCTGCCATAGGGACACGTTGGGGTTAGCCCTGCCATAGGGACACGTTGGGGTTAGCCCTGCCATAGGAACACGTTGGGGTTAGCCCTGCCATAGGGACACGTTGGGGTTAGCCCTGCCATAGGGACACGTTGGGGTTAGCCCTGCCATAGGGACACGTTGGGGTTAGCCCTGCCATAGGGACACGTTGGGGTTAGCCCTGCCCCAGGGACGCGTTGGGGTTAGCCCTGCCCCAGGGACGCGTTGGGGTTAGCTCTGCCTGAGGGACACGTTGGGGTTAGCCCTGCCATAGGAACACGTTGGGGTTAGCCCTGCCCCAGGGACGCGTTGGGGTTAGCCCTGCCATAGGAACACGTCGGGGTTAGCCCTGCCATAGGAACACGTTGGGGTTAGCTCTCCCTGAGGGACACGTTGGGGTTAGCCCTGCCCCAGGGACGCGTCGGGGTTAGCCCTGCCCCAGGGACACGTTGGGGTTAGCCCTGCCTGAGGGACACGTTGGGGTTAGCCCTGCCATAGGAACACGTTGGGGTTAGCCCTGTCTGAAGGACACGTTGGGGTTAGCCCTGCCTGAGGGACACGTTGGGGTTAGCCCTGCCTGAGGGACACGTCGGGGTTAGCCCTGCCCCAGGGACACGTTGGGGTTAGCCCTGCCTGAGGGACACGTTGGGGTTAGCCCTGCCTGAGGGACGCGTTGGGGTTAGCCCTGCCTGAAGGACACGTCGGGGTTAGCCCTGCCTGAGGGGCCGAGGCGGCGGCTTGGCCCGGGCGGGTGTGGATGCTCCTGGGCACAGAGGTGCCAGGCAGGAGGGGAGCGCCCGGGAGCAGGCTGGTGCCTGAACCCTGTGCTCGGATGAGGCTGGTTCTGTGCGGATCCTGACAACCCTTCCCCTCACGTTTAACTGAACACCCGCACAGACTTTGCGGTGGGGGGGGTTGGGTCCAAAGGGGCTGAAGGGACTGCGGGCGCTGCAGCTCCGTCAGAGCGCTCTGGGCCGCTGCCCCTTACAGCGCGGGGCTCGGTCCCTCCGCGCTGAGCACCTCGGGCAGGGGGCTCTGGACGAGGCCGTTTCCCCTCGGGGCTGTTTGGAGCGGGTTAAAGGGCCCTCGGGAGCTGACGGGAGGGTGGAAGCGCAGCAGGACCCCAGGGGACGTGGCCAGAGGCGGCTGGAGTGATTTGTGACAGTCACAAGCAGCACCCCGAGGAGCCCCGTCCCGCCGCTCCGCCCGTTCCATAAGCAAATACCAGTAAGTAAGTTGGCCGTTCGCGACGTTGAAATGGAATTAAACCTGCCTGTGTTAAAGGGGATTAAAAGGAGGGAGATCGTGCGCTCCGCCACGTCCTGCCGCTGCGCAGCGGCTCCGCGAGGAGGGCAGGGCCGGGGGCGAGGACACGGGGAAGCAGCTTGGGAGCCATTAACAAAAATGACAGAGTCTCAGCAGTGCTTATGGAGTCACTGCTGCTGCTGGGCGGGGGGGAGAGGGACCTCGGTACCTGGCTAATGCGCTATCGACCAAATTAACCCAATAGTGTAGCGCTCATTATTCTTAGCCTCGCTTGGCTGTTGCTAAGCCATTTTCTGTTGTCACTCCTCTTAATAAAATCTGTGACTTGAATAAATTTCCCCAGCAACTTTGTATTGGCACCACATCTGCGGTATCAGCTAAAGATTGGCCTTTATCTGTTCCTTACAAAACGCACCCTGATTGAAGTTCCCTATTGTAATGCTTCGCCTCCTGGAATTTCGTGTGGAGTAAGGCAGATTAGCATTAACATTTTGTTTGTATTGATGGGCAATCAGTTGTTCTTCTGATAATGCTCAAGAAAACAGAAGACAGAGGCGCTGGCAAACGCAAATGAAATGTGATCATCTTATCTCGTAATTACTTGGGTAAACAAGCGCTGGAAAATGAAGACTGCAACAAACACCTCGCAAAGTCAATCAATGTTTCGTTAAAAACCCCAAAACAAGAAGGAACAGGAGCGGACCCCTTGCAAATATCCTGACCCAAACTTCGTTGTGAGCAGGTGCAGAGGGGAAGGAGCCGCAGCTTGGCTTCACAGCTGCGTGGATGTGACACCCGCGTAAGGGACGTGGCACTGAGTGCCTGCACGCAGCGGGAACACGGGGAGGCTTTTCCCGGCAGGATTTCCCGTAGGTGAGTGGCGTGCTGATGTCAATCTGTGGAGGCTCTATTGATTACAGCCCCCCTGTCCATCACCATCACCTGCGGGCTGCCAGGCTGACAGCTGTGAAGGAGCAGAGGGAAGTTGACTGGCAGAATGTTTTGCATCTAATGAGGCTGTGCACAATACGAGCATCATAAATAATGCTCTGGAGGAACTCGGCTATCGCTTGAACACCGACACAGAGATAGGGCCTTCACAGAAGCTCCCAGAGCCATCTGTCAGCTGTCAGGAGCTGCGTGCCTCTGCCTGAGCTGGACTGAGGGAATGGGAAGCGCCACAGACTGGTGATGGGTGCCTGCTATCACATGGAGATATAAAGCGGGCTGACATCAAGAACCCGGGATCACTCAGGAAGGGCTTAAAACTACAAAGTGCTGTGGATTTGATGCAGTGCTACTTACCGGCGTGGGCTGCCGGCACTCCTTCCAGGTGAACCTTGGTCTGGCAGTCACTGCAAAGTCACGTAGAGCAGTGTGTCTGTGCCATGGGGCACTGGTGAGCTTGCGTTCAGCGGATGGCTGGGGCCCGCAGGAATGAATTACTGCAGCTTAGGGGTGATCTGGAGAACGCAGCAAGGAGCCATGACCCAGGCACCAGCCCGCAGGTGGTGGGTTCAGACTCTGGCTCTGGTACGGGGCTCCTGGGTGATGCTGAGCCCACAGTACATGAAGAAAAACAAGCCTCCAGCACCCTGCTAGGGGAAGCCTCTCAACCTACCTGGTAGCCCACTAGGAGAAGCAGCATGACAAGGCGCTAGCCCTTCTCCTGGTCCTGTTGCCATCTCATGATGGAATTCGTTCTCAAGTGTGACAATTTGCAGGACAGTCCTGTGGTTCCCCTCCTCATGGTAACCAAGTGCTGACCAAGGCTGGCCATCACAATGAAATGTTGGGAGCTGGGCCATCCACTTGGCACATGGGAATTGTTGCTTTGGGAGGCAGGAGACCTCCCGTGCTCCCGATGGGCAATTCTCTCCTCCTCCTCTCCATGCATCTCCCATCCCTTAACCAATGTGCCCATCACACAGGACATGGGGAGCTGGGGTAAAACTGGGAAAGGCAGAGGGAAATGTGCTGGTGTTCTGGCTGAGGCCTTAGCAGCAGCCAGGGAAGCATCACAGGAGCCTTAATCCAAAATAGCCTGTGGTTGAACAGGCACAGAAACCCTGGCACAGTGGGGGAGGACATGAAAGGCTCCGGTGGAGTCCAGCTGTCCCACATGGCATCGGCCCTGTCCTACGCTCACCCAGCTCCATCCCTCGGGCAGCTCACTTTCCAGTTGCTGGAACACTCGACACTGCACCCCTGCCTGAGAGCCAGGGGACCCAGCGAGCCCGCAGCCAGCTGTGCTCAGGGTTTTCACTTTCCAGCCTTCCCGAGCCTTTGTTTCACATTCTGGAGCTACACACTCTTCTTATTAAACTGAATATTGTTACCATTTAAGAATTGCTTTTGATGGCCGGGGTGCAGAGGTTGGTGCCTGTGTGCAGAGATGCAGCACTGCTGTAATTGGGGTCCTGCTTTGTGCTTTTGAACTTCCCATAATTATGAACAGATTTCTTTCTTTTTTTTAATATGTCCTCTGGTTTCTCCCTTCGAAAGAAAATCTCATGTTTAATGAACTTAATTTTAGATAAAAGGAATTAAAGGAGGGAAATTAAAAATGCATGAAGCTCCCAGAGCCATCCCTTTCCTGTGATGTCCATGCAGCAGTGCCAGCATGGATTGTACAAAGCAAGCACAAGCAGAAAAGCACTGGGGCTCACCACATGTAAATGCTGGTGTTCCAAAATGTGCTGAATTCAAAATGTACATTTTATGCTTTTCTTCTTCTTGATCTCTTGCAGAAGATAAAGATCAAACATGCCAGCCCGCCCTGCGCAGCATATGTATGCATACCCAGAATGCTTGCTGGCCTTTTGCAAACCACATCTAGCTCTGCAGGCAAAATTGTAGAGCTCACACAGGCATTGGAAGAGGATGGTCTCATGTTCATGTGCAACAAGACCAGTGGCCAGGCCAGAGGAAAAAGTGCCTGCATGGAAACAAGACTCACTTGGTCATTAAATAACCGCTCTAAATTCCATGGGACCCAGCTTCCTGCCTGAGAGGAGGTTGTTTATAGAGCCCCAGCCCACTGAGGTGCTCGTTCTCATCCTCAGACAAGCACTATGCTGGTGTCTCACAGCAGGTGGACATCTCTGACATCCTCATTTCTTCCCCCAGACCAACAGAGCAGAGAAAGGCTCAGTCCCACGGGGCAGGAGTGCTGCGAGATCAGGGAAACAGCACTAAAGAGAAAACACACAGAGGAGTCCGGGTGTAGAACCAAGGAATCTTTATTCTGTATGTACATTTTCTGTGACTGCAGTGGGGAGCTGCACATCAGACAGTGGCATGCTCCATATGTACAAGATGATTCTGCTTATTTCTTCCCCAAAGTGAGCAGGGGGGGTCTTAATCATAGAAGTCATCAAACTCATCTGCCTCCGTGCTGTGGGCTTGGGGGCGCAGAGCAGCCTCAAGCTCAGAGCTGCTCTCATCAGATTCGCCCCAGAACGCTGAGGGTGGGGAGAAAAAAAAACCAAGTTATCAAATCTTTTCCTGTTTATGTCATTTGTATCACAGACATGAGCACTTTGCAGCTCTCCCCAGGCAGCTGCACAGCACAGCTTAGAGAAGGGACGTTCTGAAGGGCACGAGGTTGAGGCGGTTTCTGATACAGCGTGATGTGGGTACATCGTGTCGCCAGAAGGGAGCTGCTGTGGCCAGACAGCGGCTCATTCAGAGGCCCCACTTCATTGTCCCTCAAGGTACCTTGAGAGAACATTTCCACTCCAAGCAATTTACTTGCCCAGCTGCTGCCTCAATTACAGCTTTGTCCATTATGTGCCACTTTCTGCCCTACTTGACCCCACAGTGAAGTCACAGTCGGACCATGACATCACAGAGTTGGCATCAAAACGGCAATGACATCACGAGTGACATCACCACTTTGGGACAGGATCAAATACAGGCAAGATCTGGGTTCAGGGAACTGCCTGGCTCCAACAAGCACCTCTGGGAATTAGCAAACAACTTCACTGAAATGAAACACAATCACACTGAAATGCGGCATGGCCAAGAGCTTCCTCGAGATGTAAATTCATTTGCTCTGTGGATAAAAATCAAGTGAAAAGCACGTGGGGAAGCACAAGCCAAGGCCACATTGGCTCGCAGCACTGTGCTGTCTGCCTGCTCCCAACTGCTTTCGTGGGGCTGCTGTTTGTGCAAGGTCAATGTGATAGACATGATGCCCCAAATGTGGCACAGGGCAGCAGGAGGGAGGGAAGCTGTCACACCTCACACAGACATGTCAGCTCATGTTTGACTGAGGCGCTGTTAATGCCTTCAGTGCTTCTGATGGCACAAGCTCTATAAACACCTTATCTCCAAGTGCAGCAGCTGCATCTTTCATCCTGTATCCCCGGCCCCCCAGCCAGCAGGTCTGCGCTCCGCCGGGAACATCAGAGGTGTGCCCTGGGCTCACTCCTGCGCTGAGCACTGGGGAAGGGGCTCAGCGTGCTGAAAGGCTCTAACACCACGAAACTCCCCAGCAGAGAAGGTCTGGGGGTGAGAGAGGCTTTCAGATGGCACCAAAGCACCATCGCGTACGGCACCCTTAAAGCAGCTCAGACACCACAGCTCCAAGTCCCTGTTCCGTACCAGTCAGGACTGCATAGTGCTGAAAGCTGCCAGCACCAGCTTCACTGACAGGGCTCCATCAGAGGTGACTTCAGCCACCAGTGGTCCTTACAGCGGTTAAAGAGAAAACTGAAATGCAGTGGGAATGAAAACACGTGAGATCCAGCCACCAATTTAATAGAGAGGCCACTTGTGTGTGGACACAAATTATTCCAGATGCAGGCTCCTTTGTGCACCCACCTGCTGCAGCCCTGCAGCCAGTCACACTGCTGCCCACCCCTTCTGCAACCCCTGGTTTCAAAGGGAACATCAATAAAACATCAGGTTTTTCCTTCCCAGTTTTGCTTCTACACCTACTTGCTGTTCACTGCTGTTTAAACCCTGCAGCAAAGGTCATAACTGCTTCCAGACTCCATGCAGTACAAAACACGTCCTCTCTGGTCCAGGATTTGTCACTGTCAACTATTTGCAGACTCCTGCGTTGAAACAGGGAAATTCCACACTGTCCCACCTCCTTACACCCATGTTCTATACAGTCCCACAGCGCCGTTCTTGGGAGATTTTCTACAATGTAAAACCCACTCAGAAAGACCTGTCGATTTTAAGTAGTGTAACATCCGTTTCTTACCTTTGGATTTTATAGTAGCTACCATTCCCTTCCTGGTTTCAGCTCTGTAAAAGAGAAAGAGATTTCAAATCATCAGCACAAGGTCACAATGGTAAAATAAAATAAAAACTCCAAACAACTGTAAAATGGTTTAAAAAGTACCAGTGAGCACTTTTTAATAACTATCTTTACAAAGGTTTCCTCACCTCTCTGTCTTTTAAAAGGTGGAGAAATTAACATGCAGCAGAGCCCCTGGTCCAGATGTTCAGGCAGCGTGAGCTGGAGTCATCCCCTGGTGCCGGCGCGGGTTTACACCAGCAGCGAGTTAAGGCTACAAAGGCTCAGAGCCCTGTCGATCTCTTGCAGCCTTTCAGATAATGCAAAGTAAGTAAAGAAAACCCCCAAACAAAAATAAAAGCACCCCCCACTGATGCTCACTGAACTTCCTTATTCCCTTCCTGCCAGCGTGCTCCTCCAGCCCAGCGCCTGGGTTCCCATAGCATCATCCCGTCCCTATGTAAATGTGCGCTCTCCCCGCTGCCTTTGATCTACCTTGATGTATATGCAGTTGCGATTCTGTTCTGTTAAATGCCTGCTCTTGTGCCTAGAGCATCACAGGCCCTTTTGAATCCCTCAAACAAGCTGGAATCATTTTGATCTTTTGTGTGTGGCGTGCGTATTGTGTTGGTGCTGTGAAATAATCACACAGGGCAATGATGTAGGAGAATTAACTGTTATATTAACAATCCTGCAAGAAGCTCAGAAATAAAGCTTCAGCTGATTTTGATAAAGGGAGATCAAATGGGCGATATTTGTGGCATTACAGGCCCAACTAGTGAAATATAAGCAAGTGTCAAGCTGCAGTTTGAAGCCGTTGCCACAGTCAAACCAGGACTCAATCAGCTGTCAAAAAAATCTAATGCAATTTGCTGCATTTCAGTTAAAGAAACGGCAATGATACAGAACGGCTTCAAGTGGGGACTTCAGATATTCTTACTACTGTTGTGGAGGCATTTGTGAAGGAGATACGGAAAAGAAAGCAGAGGTGATTCACTGCTTGTCTTGTACCACTAGATTCACAAGGATTTGGGACTGCAGTTGGAAAGCTGAACTTAAAGTGGGGGGGAGTTTCATTACATTACAGCTACCTGTGTTACACAAACTTGGCCTTTTAAATCGAAGGGGGCTCATACTCCTTTCTGCAAGCTATGAATGCAGCAGATACACAAAACTTCCTCTGCAGATACACAACAATTCACAGAAATAGATATTAAACATAGCCAAGCTTCGACCAAGATACCAAAGTGAGGCTTAGCAACTAGCAACAAGTATCAGCACTAGTAGAATAGCAACAGTGACATAACTAATTATTAACTTGCTATTCAAGTAAAAAACATTATCCTGTTTACCTGATGTCCTGTTAGCACACCATCCAAACACCTGTCTCTTCCATTCCGAGTCAAACCCTGCACTGTGTTACACTTCAAATTCTTCAAATACCTTTACTCAATGGTATTTCCAGCACATATTTGAAGTCAGAGCCTTTGGGCCGAGTCCTGCAGTACACTGAACACCCTGAACTGCTCACTTTAGTGGTTTCCTGCCCCTCAGCATTTCCCAGGAGATGCTCCGTGCACCCCAGGCTAAGCCCATAAAAATATGCTCAAGAGGCTGCAGCTCTGGTGGCTACAGTTTTCCCCCGGGTGTAGAGTGAGAAACCCCTTGTGTTGCTGAGCTGCCAATGGAGAGGTGGCTCCTGTGCCAGGCTGCACATGAACATTTCAGCTTTGGGTAGCTCGGTAACACAGGATCCAGCAGCAACCGCTCCCACTGCTGCATCTCCCCTGGCTCAAGGGAAAGCACGGCAGGGTTCATGTTCAACCACACCAGGGGGTCCCCAGAGGCGATTTCTTTGCTCCCCTTCTCTCTTTGGTTCAAACCCAGATTAAACACAAGAGCGTTGGTCGTTTCAGCCCAGAGCCTCTGCTGTGCCCAGGACACCACTCATGGCATGGAACCACCAGTGGAGGACTGCCTGTGTCCCGGGCAGCTTGGTCCTTCCACACACGGCTCAAAGCACGGTGAGGTGCTCCAGGTCTGGCCAAAGGCCAGAGGTCTGATGGAGAAGTTGCGATGGACAAGAACCACTGTGGCTGTAGGGAAATCTGGAAACCTTTCCTATTCCACCCCAGCTTCCCATGAGGAGAAAGGTCAATGTTGAGAGGAGAGAAAGGAAGATGGACGTTTGTATTCTACCCAAACCCATGCATTCAGTGGGATTCATCCTCCTGGGGCTAATCTACTGGGTGTAGAATGGGGTTCACCCCCAGAACAGCACAGAGCTGTAGTGCTGCACCAGGAGCTGGGCGCTGGTGTGACACAGCAGCCCATAAAGAGAGATGGGAACACGGTGTCAGCAAAGGCCTGGAACAAGGCTGTCAGCACAGAGAAACACCCAGGGAGGTATGGAAAATGGAGCCAGGACATCAGAAATGCCAGATTGGAAATCCCAGCTCTGCCAAGCCAAGCCTGGAAAATGCTGCAAGAGAGCTTTGTAACAGGGAATACATTCTTGAACTACATCTGAAGCGTTAGTCAAGGCTGGTAAGACGTAAGGAGACCTCTACCTTGCAAAGCATTTGTATTCAGCAATCGGCAAACTCAATCATGGAGTTATCATGTGGGATCCTGAGCACACAATAACCACACAGACCTCCACGGAGAAATTTAGGAGTATAAATGAAGTAAGGCCAGTTGCAGTGCCTCCACTAATCCCCCATCGTGACCCTTCCATATCCATTTACACATTCGCTTCTTCCCTAAAATAATTCCAAACTGAATCCAGGCTCTAACAAAGAAAAAACCCCAAATCAGTTTAACTTCAAAGGGCCTTTTAATCTCTCCTTTACTCTGATGAAACAGGCTTTTTGTATTGAAGATGCTGCAACAATAAGAAATGAAAAAGCTCCGAGGAAATATTTCTCCCTCTGCAAAGAAAATTAATATTAAGAGGAAGAAGCCAGACCAACAATAGGCAAGTTAATAGAGGTGCCTTGCTGGCAATAGCAGAAATGCTTCCTTTAGCTGAGTACCTTTTTGCTAAAGCACCTGTTGAACCGCACGTTTTGGTGTCAAGTGAAAAAAAGCCACCTCAGTGCCAAGGAGAAAAATACAAGAAATAAAAGAGACAAAGAAAACCACGCAAACACCGTGGGGAAAACCCAACCAAGGCAACCCAACGCACCCTGCCCCCAGGGAAAAACCACCACCGAAACACCAGGCCTTGGCAGAAACCCAACCAAACACAGAGCTCAGCTGCCTCGGGGGCACCAGTGCTCCTGTTGGGGCTGGATGCCTTCATCCTGCGCTCACACATCTGGGATGCAAACCCAGCTGAGCATTTCTTCTCAGGGTGGTGTTTATCAGCCCTCGGCGAGGTAAGAGATGAAGCTTCTCCCCAGCAGCACGTGAGGGTGAGGAGCTGCAGGTCCAGCTCCAAAAGGCATTTTCTGGTCTGCTCAGTGGCAGTGCCTCCGATGCGACACTGACCGGGGTGCTCACACACCATCCTCCTGCTCCAGCCCAACAGCTCTGCCGTTTCCTGCTCAGCATTTACTAGAAGTTGAGCATCGCAGAAGTGTTCCCCACACTGGAAATTCAGTATAAACTAGAATAATCTACTGCTCACACCAGAATTAAAGTAGCAATACTGAGGTTAAGTAATTACACTGCAAGTAAGATGACTTTTAGGCTACAAAGATCTGTATGGAGCTACACTTAAGATCATTCTCTGTTCAGATATGCTACACTGAGGAAAAAACCAACCTATTCTCACCTAGAGGAACCTCTAACACAAAGACTGAATCACAGCACCGGGATGAAACTGTTGGAAGAGCCCAGGGCATTACCACGGAAATAAACACTATGTTGTCTGTAAAACAGGGCCAGTGCATTTACATGGATAACCATTCCCATAAACCATTCCCAACCATATTCACAGAGCATCACCACTTCCACACTGCTGCTCCTGCAACAGCTGGATGTTAAGATTTAGGTAACAAAGCTTAAGGAAACAGCTGTACCATCAGGAAAAACGTGCTTGAATTTACAGTCGCTTCTCACAGAAGCGATTCGGCAGCTGGAAGTACAACGGGATGGGGCTGGTTTGAGGGGCAGCCCGGGAACACACCGCGCCACCTCCCCCGGGTTTCCTGGTAAAGCTCCTGACCACTCCCAGCTCCAAACCTTGGGAATCTCTCGCCAAAGCAGCCGGGCAGGGCCAGCGCCGGCTCGGAGGGGGGATGCGCAGAGCCGGAGTGCCCCCCGATGGCCACAGCCGCGGCGGCACAGGGAGCAGCGGCACGGCCCGTGCTCAGCATCGCCCCCGAGAGTAATTAAGAGGATGAATTATGATGTGCCAACTTTTATTTGCATGTCATTACGTCTGTGTTTGGTGACGGCGGCCCTCAGAGACCAGCCCGGATTACTGCCACAGGGCACATTAATCAAAAACCACTTCACACCGCGGCTGTGTCCTGGCGCATGACGGCGGTTCCGTGGGTCGCGCTCGATAATGCACCCTTAATCTCCAGATCAGTCCGAAAGGAGACGGCGCAAACAAGGCAGAGCAACACAGACTGCTCCCATCAAAACCTCCACGCTACCCAGAAAACCAGTGACCTCCTCTGGCTGCAGCCAGCGCTCCGGCCACGGGATGCCACACACAGCGCCTGCCGCCCAGACAGGCCGCCTGACTTCTGATACCCTGTCCCCCAAGGAACTGCATAATTTATCACGCTCTTTGGTGGTGCAAAACACAAACTCTGCAAACCAAAGCGGCACCTTTGTGCGGGAAAATATTCCCTTCGTAATGTAAATGAAGGCAGGAAAAAGTAGTTTTGTCGCTAAACGTGGGGCAGGACAGTATTTGCGGGAGAAGAGGAAGCTCTGGCATGCACCTCCGAACAAAAGGGAACAAGTGGTCTTTACTCGGAGAGCAGCTTCCTATTAAGACTCACTCCTTCGTACATTATGCCTTTCATCCCCACTCAACCACAAAATGATTTTGCTGTAGGAAATACAATGGCAGAAAAAGATTTACATTGAAAGAATCTTTAATAATAAACTGTTGCAGATCTGCCTACTTCCCCGTGATTTATAATACAATAAACATCGGATTCTATTAAGTCTCATGCACTGAAGACACGCACTGAAAAACCGAATATGAAAGCCCTCAATTCTTCCCTTCTCCAGCCCCATAATAGTGAAATGAGCATGTATAAATGTGCTAAGAGTATCTCTTTGCATCTTTTATAGCTTGTGTGTATCAATCTGTAAAGCTTATTAAGAAAGTCATTGCTATGCAAAGCAGCACCCAATCTCTTTCTCTTGCTTTTCAACAGAGCGCAGTGTTTAGCCAATAGGACCGGTCCCCGGCCCCTCATTCAGCATTCATAACATGCAACATTTGCACAATGTATCTCTCAAAGGCTGCTGAATAGAAAGCCTTAATACTCATGTAAACAACTGCAAACCAATTACTTAATGAATCAGGCCCACACATAATGAGGTGCCAGACAAAGAGCTATAAATGCATTTTTGCGCCCGAGCCTCTGCTTTAAAGTAAAATCCCTCAGCTGTAGTTTGGGCTTAACTGG